GGGAAAGAGCAATCCAGATCTTTAAAAGTGGAAAGTGACAGTGCTCTAGAAGAGCAGTATTCTAGTGCAGAAGTCCTGATGAATGCTTGGTATTGGAATCCTGACCTAAGGTATTAGGCTTTGATTTGCCAGACAAGGAGAACTCATGCTCTGCTATTGGACAGTGTCCGGTGAGCTGGATTGGAGTGTGGAGTCAGGAGACCAAGCAGGAAGATATTGCAGAAGTCCAGATACCCTGTGATTAGGGCCTGATCCATGCTGGTTACAGTGAGAATGGAAATGGTATAAAACGAGCACAGGTAGGCTTGCATGAATAGCCTAAGTAACTGATGGTGAGCAGTAAGGAAAGAGAGAAGTGATGGGAAACAAGCCTAGATTGACAAGAGGAACCTAGAAATAGGGAAATTTAGAAGGTAAACTGATTTGGATGAAAACACCAAATATTTAGCTATGTACCTGATGGCAGGATATCACAGCAGAGGTGATACAGGGTAAGAGGAGCAGAGGAGTGGAGTGTGGCGACAGAGGTTTTGTGTTTAAGCATGTTAGTGGGCTTAGTTTTCCAGATGAGAAAATATATAGAAATTATTGCATATTAGGTATTGTTTGTAAAAGAGTAGAAAACTGAGGGAAATAACCTGGTAGGTTAAAGAAAAAACACACCAAACTACAAAAATTTGGGAGTTATTCCTAAATTTTATTTTGGGGGCAGTACCTTATTTTGCTTCAGTTTTCTGAATTATTGCCTCAGGTTTCTGCTTCTTTCTGTGTCTGGGGAAAGGAGAGTTAATTTTAGGTTCAAAATAAAAATTTTTTACGTTCAAAAAGAAGTCTGGGGCCTCCCTGGTGGCGCAGTGGTTGAGAGTCCGCCTGCCGATGCAGGGGATACGGGTTCGTGCCCCGGTCTGGGAGGATCCCGCATGCCGCGGGGCGGCTGGGCCCGTGAGCCATGGCCGCTGAGCTTGCGCTTCCGGCAACGGGAAAGGCCACGACAGTGAGAGGCCCACATATCGCAAAAAAAAAAAAAAAAAAAAGAAGTCTGAAATGGGTAATACCTAGGACATACGATGTATGTCATTACAGTTTTATCACTGAGTGATGTTTAATGCATTTCTCTATTTTTCATGGATTTCTTGGTCATCCTGATAAAGAGGACCTGGGTTTGGAAGGTGGTAAGGTAGATGAGGAAACCCAGGTGGCATTCTATGTATACTTATTAGTAGAGCCAGTTGTGAACTATGCGTTGTGACCCTTATCTTCTGCACCGGGCATTTATGGGTTTCATCTTCTTTAGGGTTTATCTAATATGAGAAGAGTTTATTGGTACAGAAAAACATCTAGTTCTAAAAGTATCTCTCCCTCCTTGAGGTTTTTAAAACCATTTTTAAAATTTCACATTGGAGTTAATTGTACCCCTTAGAGATATTGTCATATCTCTAACTTGCCAAAAGCAAAAATCGTTCCTGATACAAAATTCTTTAAGCTAAGAATAAGACAATATTGAGTCCTATACTGAGACATTCCCAACATTAAAAGCCAAGTTATCCAACTTGAATAAAATACATTTTAAGCATTTTTGAAAGTTGAATTACTACTGTCTTTTGAAACTGACAAATTATGTTTCATTTGGCAACCTTTTGCTGTATATTTTGATAGCTGTATGACTTGCCATACATTTTGGTATGGATTTTTAAGTATTATTTGTTAAGATATGTGGTTCTAGACAGTTATGCAAAGCTGTGCATTAGTGTGTTCGTCCTGCCTGTTTTAAAGCTTGGTTTGAGCATGTTATTATCTAAGGTGGTGTTTGTGCTTTTATTGTGTTATGCTTATCCCTTGTGTATTTTTATCATTAATTTTGAAATTTTGGGTTACTGTGGCAAACGGAGGTTTGGATTTTAATTATGTGCTCAGCTAGAGGAAATCTTAAGCTTCTGATTCCTTAGAGTAGACAGTGAGATGTTTATCAAGCTCAGGAGGAAAAATAAATCTCAGAGTTAACATTCTATAAATGTTGATGTCAACCTTCTAAAACCAAAGATGACATTATATTATCATTCTCATCTCTAGGAACTCTTCTTCCCTTGGTACATGTTTGGTCAGTGAGAAACTGAATCTTTTAATTTATGTTTATTTTTCCCAGAAAATGTTTGCATTTGAGTTTTATTCCTTGCTCTGGGTAGTTTATTTTTTCTGAGCCGCATCTTCCCCAATTTATAAAATGGAATTAATTCTCTTTAATCCACAGGATTGTTGTCATGAGTAAATGAAAAGATGAAATAAAGTGACCCAGGCAAAAGTACCTTGTCCAGTACATAGTTGATACGCTCTCTATATTACCCTCCCTCTTAGTGCTGAGAATCTTGTAAAGAATGAATTAAACAATGAGTATCATTTCATAAGAGTTTCTCTGTGTAAATACTAAGCCATTGACTAACTCTGCAGAATATAGAACATGGAGTTGCTGATACCAAAAATCAGCAAATATAGTGAAAAAGATATACCTAATATAGTTGTTAAGGCAACACAAATGCCCATGAATGTTTCCTTACTTTTCATCTTAAAGCTTGTGATTTAAAAAAATATTTTGACATTACTATAAAAAAATCATTATTGACTGTCTCTTGATTTACAGAGTATTGTTACAGTCACATTCGAAGTACCAGGAAATGCAAAGGAAGAAAGTCTAAATGTCTATATTCAGGTGAATGCAATTTTAACTGATTAATGATTTATCAATTGTTTTGCTATGTAGTTCCTATGAGCAGTGGTTGATCTTATTAAAATATGTCACTTGATACAGAATCTTCTGTGGGAAAAGAATGTGAGAAACAGGGATGACGACTGCATGGAGGTCATACGACTAAAGGTGCAGTACATAGCTTAAACAGCTTTATACTTTTGGACAAAGTCCCTTTCTTTGCTGTTACACAAAACCAAGTTGAGTCTTAAACACAAGGACTAGTTTCAGTCCAAATAACCTTTGTCTGTTTTCGTTTTTCCTTATTTCCATTTCTGAAAAGAAGCTTTGGAAGTCATTGCATAAAGCATGATGTATTTGCACAGCTTCATTGAGTGTTGCAGCTAAAATAACCTGTGTGCTTTGAAACGTTACCCCCTGCTGTCTACTGCCAGGTGCTCTGAGCAGTTATCTGGCTAATGAGCTTGACTTGTTAAAACTCGCCTCCCCTTGGCACACAGCTTGGTTAGTCAGAGAAAACGGCAAGTTTTCTTGTGTTGACTTTTCTAAGAGAGCTTCATTAACAGAGTAATATTAGAAATCTTGCTGCAGCTGAACCTTATGTTTCTTGAATTTAGCAGACACTAAACATTTGTTATACTGTGAGACAGTGTTACAGAGGACTAGAAGAATTCTTGCTCTGTGTTTGGATATCCGTTCATATTACTTGATATTTGGGTATTATGTTACAAAAGGTGTTTTTTCCAGGGAGCAGTGGGTTCTAGGCTGTGTGCTTAACGAATCAACAGTCATTTGAGTGTCTACTCCTGTGTTTCCAGAAGTGTGCATAAGGTTTTATTATTACTATTTATTATCATTACTGTTAGTAGCTAGATTCTCTGGCTAGCAGCCGACTTCCTAGGGTCACTAGTGTGACTGGGAAACTATTTTGGTTTAGATTTCTTCACTCCCTGTGCTGGTTCCACCTGGGATTGGTGCTGCAGAGCAGCACAGCTGAATCCTAGTCTATTCCCCAGTCGTTCCCCCGCAGAGGAACTAAGCCAGATCCTGCTGCTTCTTTATGACTGTGTCCCCATCTACATTCTGTGATCCTAATTGGAAGATCATATTTCATTCTGTAACTGCTTTTATCCCCTAGTACTGAATGGGGGGTGATTACCTAGAAAAGCAACCATTTGGGCATTTATACTAATGCAGCAACGAGACCTCTGTATAGAGTTCAGTGGCTCATCTTGCACCATCCCAGTCTGGATTTTGTCCTTCGTGCATGACAGTTGTTCTGCACCTGTCCTCCTTGGTTCTTCTTTTGGCCTTCCTCTCATCACAGCAACGCTGGGACATCTGAGGCACCACAGCCTTTCTCTTCATAGACTTCCTTCTCTTTGCTGTTACAAAGTATTATACTAGTCTGAAAATAATCAACATGTTTAAACTGTTAACTCTAATAACAGCTGACACTTCAAAGTCTTTATACAAGTATAAAATTGATGCTTAGGTAATTCTCTCCATGGAGTTTGTTGTTACATATTTAAACTCAGATTTGAAAAGCAGAAAACAAAACTCTGCACAAGAAAAGAAAACTGGAAGAACATGTACCCCAAATACATGAATACATCAAAAATTATGTGGTGGGAATGACAGTGGTTTGTCTCTTACTATTTTTCAATATATATATATTATTTTTATAATAAATATATATAACAAACATTCTTTCAGAGAAATTATTTCATCCCCATAGGCCAGTTCATCTGATAATTTGTTCCTCATTTCTGCAAAGCAATGTTAAATAAATTTTATTCAGATAAATATAATAGTTTTTCTTTACCTTTATTTCATCATTATCTACTCCATTTATTACAACCCATTTAAAAACAGATCATCACCAAAATCCTTTAACTTCTCAAAGTTTCCCACTAGAACTGTGAAACAAGTATAAAATCCTTAAAAGTAGAATAATTGGTAGAATTTGAGATATAACATGTTTTATCATTTGGTTGTTTCAGTTTTCATTGTGGTAACACTGAATAAACATCCTAATTACATATATTAATTTCATCATTAGAAATAGGGATTGTTTTTAAAATATGTGTGCAGAAGCCTTTTTTAAAAATTGGAGGATTTAGGAAACTCTTTAATGCACAAATAACTGGAATTAAGTAATTTTAACAGCATCTCCTTTATGAGTTTGTATTTTAAAAAGAAATGGGAGTAATTAATCCATTAACATTGATGCTCGATTTCTGCTTTTAAATTAAAACTGTGGCTGATTGCTCATTCTCCTCTGAGCAGGGGCTGGTGTCGATCAAAGACAAACCACAACAAGTGATTGTCCAGGGTGTCCATGAGCTGTATGATCTGGAGGAGACACCAGTGAGCTGGGAAGACGACAGTGAGAGAACAAATCGATTGGTCCTTATTGGTAAGTGACAAACAGTTAACTTTTTTTAAAATGGAAGTATAGTTGATCTACAATGTTGTGTTATTTTCAGGTGTACAGCAAAGTGATTCAGTTATACATACATATATATCTATTTTTTTCAGATTCTTTTCCCTTATAGACAGTTAAATTTCTAAAGCAAAAGAGAGAGAGAGAGAGAGAGAGGAGAAAGGGATATAATGTGCTACGTAAGCAGTACTAACCAATCTGAACCTCTTTTGTAAATCTGAATAAGCTTGTAGTTAAGGTATTTGTCTTAATTATGAGATAACATCATAAGAACTTGTTAAGCCTTTTACTCTTCTTCAAATAATTTTAGAAAAGTGATTAATCCAAATGCCAACTTGGTTCTAAGGGACTTAATTAGAAAGTTAAGGAAGAAATCATTAATTACTGTTGTTTTTATAAATTTCTGAAGATCATGAAGCATTTAATGATCTGGACTTGATAGGTAAACTGTGTCATTTTAATAAGCATCATATACTCATACCATGTTTTGTTCTGTTTGCAGGAAGGAATTTAGATAAGGATATTCTTAAACAACTATTTATAGCTACTGTGACTGAAACAGAAAATCAGTGGACAACACATTTCAAAGAAGATCAAGTTTGTCCATAACACTAGAAGCATCACCAAAAGGACTGGATGATAAAATTGGGAATAAGTTTCCTATTGGATGTATTTCAAGCATCTATTCTTTGCATTACTTCTCTTATGAATTCCAGTGTAAACTTTAAAATAGTATTTATTTTATAGAATACATACAACATAGTAAATCAGTATTATAAAACATTTGATATTCATATAATAAAATACACTGTCCTCTGACTTTTTTTTGTGGACAGATGATTCATAAACATATCTTTCAGAATTGGCTTTGGAGTTTACATATGCTGAATTTCTCACTCATGGAAGTTATAATAATAATAATGGGAAAACTTACTTCAACATTGTCATTTTCCCTTAGAACTTCAGCTGATTGTGTGGATGTAATTTTATTGTTAATAACAAAAATTTTTAAAAACAATGTCACCATTTTTATTCAAGGAAATAAAGGGTTTACAGTGGTAGAGACTTATAAGTGGAAGAAACCTAAATCAAAGAAATTAACTGAAACTTTCTCTTATTCTTAGTCAGATTCTAAGCCTTACTGGTAGTCAGTGTAATGGAACTTCAGCCATTCGCTTTGTAATATATTTTGAAGATTTCAATTGTAGAGCTTTTAATTTTAGAGTAGATTTTAGTTTTAAAGTAGATTTTACTACTGGTATTAAATTCATCTTTTTTTTTAACTTCTTTATTTTTCAATATAAACTAAAAAGTGACAAGGTATAAAACTTCAGATGTAACTGCATTTAACTTTTGATAATTTAACAATCTTTGTATAAATGGTAGGCGTGTAAGTATACAATGGATTACTTTTCTCTTCTTCCTGCTAAAGGCCAGGTCAGCTTAACTATATTCAGATTGTAAGAGAAAGGCATTAAATGGAATTTAAAGAAGAGTTAATGGTTGTTAAATATCAGAAGGCTGTCAGAATGGCTTTTGGAATAATTTTTCAGAATTTTAAGTCAAAATTACATCTCTGTATCTTGAATGGTTCCAGTAGTTGGAGGCAGGCTAATTGATTAGATTATCTATCTCCCGTCCCCTGTGTTCTGTACCTTTTTAATATAACTTCTCTGTGTTCATCCATCTGCCTCCTGAATCTATTCTCTTAACTTGTGGTTGAGAGAATATGCTTATTTTGTGGCAGCCAATTGCCCGATAGAAAGTAAGCTGATTTTTGAGTCAGATCTTTAATTCCAGGGCTTTAATTCCAGCTCTGCTGCTTCTTGGCTGTATAATCTTGGGCAAAGTATTTTCTCTGAGATTCGTTTTCTTACTTTAAAGTGGACAGTGATAATATCAAACATTCAAGCTTGTTGTGAGGGTTAAATAGGTTTGTAAGGCACCCAGCTCAGCTCCTGGCCCACAACAGAGCATAGATAAATGTTTTCTCCTTACTAATGATTTCAATTTGTTTTATAATTAATGTAGTCATGATAATACTTCATAACGTTCATTGGCAAATAATAAGTATTTAGATTCATCTGTTCTAGCCCATGAGAAAGGGCTTATAATTAATGGTACTGTTGTGGGAGAAATGTTTGAAGTAATATTAATCTAAACTCTTAAAAATCTGTTTTAAACTGATAAATATTTGGTTTTTTCCTTTATAACGTATTAATCTTTAAATATTTTTCTTTACAAAAGTATTGCATGACTACATTTGTGTTGTAAAACGCAAGCATTACAGATGAAGTCAGTCTCTCCTGACCTTTCTCCTTCAGTCACTGTCACTTCTGGGTAAGCAGTGTTGTCAGTTTAATGTCTATCCTTTTAGATGTTTCTTTTCACTTATGCACACATTATGGTTTACATTGTTTCCCAAAGTGAATTATTTTCCAATAATAAAGCTATCATTTAAGGAATTTCTTCGGAAAACTTACAAACTTGCCATAAATATCCTCAAGGAAAGATTTTTATAATGTGTGTTTTAAATAAAAAATCATTCTTTACATATTATAATACAGTTTGCTCTTTAAAAAAAACTATTAATCTTAGATCTTTCTGTGACAATGTATATAAATATGTCTTTAACTGCTGGACAGAAATTCATAGTATAGCATAGAATACATATCTTTAAAAAAACATTCATTGAGAGCTTCCAGGTTTGCCCAGTATTAGTGCTGGGGCTGAAACTGCACATGATGGTTAAAAGCCAGGTTTGTATTGCTTACATTCTAGTGGAGGGATATAAATAAGTGAGAAAATACGAGGTGCCTGAAGAAGGCTGATAAAAATCAAAACTGAGTTTAGAATGAGTGGGCATGAAAAGCGTCTTTGAGGAGAAGTGGCTTTTTTGTTTTTGGTGGGGTGGGGCTGTTTTAGAACTTTTTGATAATCCCAATGTCACAAAGATCTTTCCTATGTTTTCTTTTAGGAACTTAATAATTTTAGCTTTTAACATTTAGCATCATGATCCATTTCAGGTTAATTGTTCCATCGTATGTCTTGAAAACTCTTTTGCCCTTTGAATGAGTTTTTTGCACCTTTGCTGAAAATCATGTGGGGTGTGTGTGTGTGTGTGTGTGTGTGTGTGTCTGTGTGTGTGTGTCTGTGTGTGTGTTCATGGACATTATTTTCATTTGTCTGTCCTTATGGCACTACCACACTGTCCTGATAACTTTAGCCTTAGAGTAAGTTTTGAAATTAGGTAGTGTAAATATTCCAATCTTGTTTATCTTTTTCAGAGTTGTTACAGCTATTTTAGGTATTTTTGTTTTCAATATAAATTTTATCATTAACTTGTCAGTTTCTTCAAAAAGCCTGCTAGGATTTTAACTGAATTGAATTCAGTCTATAGTACAATTTGGTGGAAATTGACATTTTAAAAAAAACTTTATTTCTTATTGAGGTGACATTAGCTTTTAACATCAGTTTCATGTGTACAACATTATATTTTTACTTCTGTACACACTACAGTGTGCTCACCACCAAGAATTTAGTTTCCATCCTTCTCCATATAGGTTAGTTTCCTTCCCCTTCCCCTCTGGTAACCACTGCTCTGCTCTCTGTATCCACGTGTTTTGTTTTGTTTTGTTTTGCTCATTTATTTGTTTTGTTAGTTTGTTTTTTATATTCCACATATGAGTGAAATCCTACAGTATTTGTCTTTCTCTAACTTATTTCACTTAGCATAATGAACCTCAAGGTTCATCCAGGTTGCCAGAGGTGGCTTTTAAGTTGAGAACAGAGTTAAAAGGAGTCATTGATGCAAAGTCAGGGAGAAGATTCTACACAGAAGGAGTAAGCAGTGGAGAGGGCCTTTAGGTGGGAACCAGTATAGGGTGCTGGAAGACCAGGAAGACGGCAAGGGTGGTGGAAGGTTCGAAAGCCAGGGTAGGAGGTGGGATTGGAGTTGTGAGCCAGGGCCGGGCTTTTTGCTTACAGGACAGAGCAAAATATTTGGTTTATTCTGAAAGCCCTGGGAAGTGGCTGAAGGGTTTTGAGCTGGACAAGTGATATGGTTGTGATCGCTGTGGCAGATGAACTAGTTGCTTCCTGTTTTTGAAATTGCAGACAGTGCTGCAGTGAACATCATTATGTGCGCCTCTTTGTTTTTATGTAAGAATGTTTCTCTGGAAGAGATATGTAAGGGTGGAATCACTGGCTTCCAGGATATGCACATTTAAAGTTCTTAACAGATACTGACAAATTGCCTTCCCAAATGGCTGTACCTTCTTGCCGTAAAACAGGAGTGTATGAAAGTACCCTTTTTTCCAAACCTAGCTAACACATTTTAACCTTTGCCATTCTGGATGGAATGGCATCTCACTGTTTCAATTTAGATTTTTTTTTTTTACTGTATTTTTATGTTATTTATAAGTTCTTTTAAATATGCATTGCTCTGTTCTTTGTTCTTATTTTTCCCCAAATGAAGTATTTTTCAGTGATCAGAGACATTAGCAGTTTAACCTGTACTTCAGAGGGGTTTGGAACCTCCAACAGATATCCCCGAGAGAAGAGTTTATCTTTATAATGGAAATCACTAACAAATAAATAACATGGGCCATGATTCTGCTAACCATAGAAAATTTTCAGGGTATTATGATTATGGTAATGATGATAATCAGGGTTTACGCATAGTTCATCTGTAACTTGATAGTTTACTGAGTAATATAGGATAAATTACTAAGTCTCTCTAAACCTTTGCTTCCTTATTAATAAAATTCAGGTGCAAATCTCTCAGGGATTAAATTTAAAGTACCCTGACTATAGAGTTTCAGTAAATGTAAATTCTCCTTTTCCAGCAAGACTTGATAATACATTCAAGCTTCTGCACAGCTTCTTACATGATTCTTTCCTAGGCTTTTCCAGCTTTTAGTGAAAGGGGCAAGAACATTAGTACTGAGTTTAAGATAGCTGAAGGAAGGGTCAGCCCAGGGGGTGAAGGAAGGCCAGGGATTGAAAGGGTCTCTAATTCCTAATAGATTATGAAGTTTTAAGGGAATTATCAACAAAATAAAGCTAAAAGGCTTTTAAACATTTGTGGGCTTGGTTGCTTGCTACAAATTGAATAAATGTCTCCTTTGGATTAGTAATGTAGGTGGAAAATTATATTTTAAGATTTCTTTGAAAGGACTTTGCCAGTTCTAGAAATGCCATACATTGTGGAGGTGATACTGAAAGAAGTGAATTCTGTCTTTGAATGTCTAGCAACTTGCCCTACTTTGATGAGAAAGAAGAACTAGACTTTTTTCTCAGAATTAGTCTTAATATTAGAATCAACTTATTTAAAATTAGAATCAACTTGGTTGATAACTGAATTGCCTTTAATTTTCAGAGCGAAATGGAGAGAAATCTGACATCCTCTTTTCTGTACAGTAGTTTAGAGAGGTTGGTTTTTCAAAGTGGGATGGATGGCATTTATGACCCCCTGATAGATTTGTTCAGGAAAAAAAACCTATTCAGTGTTAGGAAAGAAGTAATCTCCAAATATTATTGAGTGCCCACTATGCACCGGACCCCATGTTAAATGTTTTAGTGTTTCATGAGCACAAAGTAACACAACACTAAAGAATTAATAAGGTGGGACAGAAAGAGTCCCCCACCCTTTTTTTTTCCTTAAGGAATTACTTGCCATAATGGAGTATCTCCAAAGAACTCAACTGTTTTCCTTGATACAGCTGTTTGTTTTTACATTGATATATTTTGTATATTAATTTTATTTAGATATAATTAGCAAAAAAAATTTACTCTTTAAAGTATACAATTCATGGCTTTAGTATATCCACAGGTAGTGGCAACCAGTACCACTATCTATCAGTAATTCCAGAACATTTTCATAGCTCTCAAACTCTGTATCCATTAGCAGTTAATCCCCATTTCCTCCTGCCCCTGTTCCCCAGCAGCAATTTGTCTACTTTCTGTCTCTAGATTTGCCTATTTGGACTCCTTTCACCTACCATAATGTTTTCAAGGTTCATCCATGTTGTTGCATGTATCAGCATTTTGTTTCTTTTTATTGCTGAATAAAATTCTATTTATATATCACATTTTGTTCATCTACTCATCAGTTGATAGACATTTGAGTTTCTACTTTTTGGCTACTAGGCCCTTTTTCTCCCATTTAATTTTTTGATAAAATATAATTTTCAGAACAGTTTTACATTTACAGAAAAATGGAGCAGAGCAGATAGTAGAAGGGAATTCCCATATCCATCCACCCTCCTCCACCCCCCCCCATGACTACATGGGTAGTCATGTCGCCCATTTTTATCACCTCATATCAAGGGTACATACTATCAACCTGATTTATGACTGTTGATGTTGACATTGATTACCTGACACCTGGCTGAAACCTTTGTCAGGTTTCTCCACGGTAATTTATTCCCCCTCCCCCCACTTCATATGGTTATCTTTGGAAGGAGGTCATTGTGCATTGCCCACAGTAAGAGACTGGGGTGTTATGCTCTACCTCCTAGAGGGTGGAATATCTACGTAATTTATTTGGAAGTTTTCTGCAAGGGAGATTTGCCTCTTTCCCCCATGTATTAATTTACTCAGTCATCTAGTTTTTATCAGTATAGACACATGCATATTTTATACTTGGGTTAATAATCTAATACTATATTTTGACGCCCCAGCTTTGGCCATTGGCAGCTCTTTCTTGTCTCCCAGTGCCCTCTTTGACATACTTCCATCATTGGGGGTTGTTTTGCCTTTTTTTTTTTTTTAGTGCCCTTACTTTTCTCCTTTCATTTTTAAATAACCCAAATCCCCATAGAAGTTGACTGTAGGAAAACTAACAATGCTCCCTTTCCCAGGTAATCGGATTCCTATGCTGATGGAAGAAATGTGCCTTACCTACAGGGGGTTGAGGGGGAGGCATCTGGGAATCTAAGGCTGAATAAGACACCTGTCCCAGCCCTCCTGAAGCTTAGTTTAATAGGTCACACAAGTAGTAATTGGTTAATTTGGGATTCAGACACAATCTGTTAGGCTCGAAAACTTCTGTTATTTGTTCTACTTCAAACTGCATACAACTGAGTAGCCTTAGAGGGTAAACACCTCAGAAATAGAGGATAAGACTTTAAAAAGACTTGTAAGAAAGCTGTTTTCAAAATTTTATCCTGAAGAAACTAACTCCTTTAAGCTATTTTTTGTTATATTAGCTGGCTTCTGATTTCTCACTGAAAATTTGTTGTCATTTTACAAACTCTAATAGAAGATTTACTATGTAACAATCAATGGCATAATACAATACTTTTATGCTGAATTTTTATTAGATGCCACCTCAAATTCTTTTCACAAGTACGTAGGTATTAAATTATGAGTATATACTGTTAGTATTTTACCATAGGATACCTAGTGATATAACACACATTAAATGATATTGCACTTCACTGCTACTTTATTCTTTGAACTAATTTAACTGAAGTCAATCTAAAAATCATGTTACTTCCAAGGATGTCAAGTACTTAAACAGAGCGTCTCTGTCGTCTTGTTCTTCTCTAGTGTGAGATGACATGGTGAATTAGTTTAAGACACTGAAACTGCAGCCCTTTTTTGCCTCCTATAACTTTCAAGATTAGAATTTATTATTATAGTAAAAAGTGCTTAATGTTGGCTTTTTTTTAAAGAAGGAAGAAGGGAGAGAGAGAAAGAGACGGAGTCTCAGACTGGGTGTATACTGTGGAGTTGTTGGGCCATTTTTGTGAAAAGGATATTTCAAACTGGGTTTGTACTGGTTAGTATGCAGCAAAATCAGTTTAGTTGGTCATGGCCATTAAAAAAGAAATGAGGGCTTCCCTGGTGGCGCAGTGGTTGAGAGTCCGCCTGCCGATGCAGGGGACAAGGGTTCGTGCCCCGGTCCAGGAGGATCCCACATGCTGCGGAGCAGCTGGGCCTGTGAGCCATGGCCACTGGGCCTGTGCGTCCGGAGCCTGTGCTCCGCAACAGGAGAGTCCACAACAGTGAGAGGCCCGCGTACCGCAAAAAGAAAAAGAAAGAAATGAAAGAATATCAGTGATCACTTGTTTTATGAAACTCATTTTAGTTATATAAGTCTGTGCGAGATCGTGGTATAAAATTTACTTCATACTGAGGTTAAATGTTCAAAGAAGTTGAAAATCACTGCTGGAAGGGGACTTCTCTCTAGCCCTCCTGCTTTCCCTCCACCCTGAACTTCCACAACCTCATGACAGGACATTTCAGTCTTTTCTGAAAACTTGGGTCAGGGAAAGCATTTTGGGAAGCTGAGGTGGCGGGTAGGAGGGACAAGGCCACACCCTCTCACACTCCACTCTGAGCTGGGGAATGTAGTGAGAACATTAAAAATATTTCAGCTCCTCATTCTGAGTGGAGGACACAATCCACCAGTGAAAGTGGGTAACTAACCAGCTATGAAACACAAAAACATATTTACTGTTACACATGCTTTTACAGCCAAACACCGTGTATATTTCAGTGCCTTCTCCCACCTCCTATTTTTATCCTTCAGGAGAGAGGCCTGAATATGGAGGTGGCCTTAGATTGTTGGGTACATATTTTCCTACCCCCTTTTTCATCTGCGCGGTTTTCAAAGTGCGTTAACAGAGCCTATGCAACTCCTGGCGCAATTGGCTGGCTGAACCTGAGGAGTGAAGCACCTTCCTTGCTGGCTAAGGAGGGGGCCAGCTGAAGGCTCTTGCCGCGTCGGGTAATGCTCAAAGGACCCTCATCACTGGACAGCGTCGGGAGGAAGGAAGAGCGCTCTGAGGTAGGGCAAGAAAGGGTATAAAGGGGGACGGGGGACTCCACCACACAAGGACTCAGAAGAAGCCTCAATAAAAGGCAAAGTGCATCTTTGCCGGATGGTGTAGGAAAGGAGGAGAAATCGGCAGAAGAAAAAGAACACCACCTAAAAGGGTAACCTCGAGCGTCTCTGCTTCTTGAAACACTCTTAACACAGGCTTCCAGCCCAGCCCACCCAGAGCCAGGTGAGCGGCCGCCACCTCTCCGGCATCTGCAAGACCTGCTCCTTCATGAACTTGCCAAGAGCGGAGCGCCTTCGCTCCACACCTCCGCGCAGCCTCCGGGGCTCCGATAGCGAAGACGGTGCGATCGATATCCTGGGAGAGGAGGAAGATGAAGAAGAGGAGGAGGAAGAGGAAGACGAGGAACCCGAGGGAAGCCGGCGGCTCCTAGAGCCGCTGCACCAGCCGGAGCCGCAGAAGGCGCGGCGGGGCGCGGGCGCGAGTGCGCTTCCCGGAGAGCGCACCGAGAGCGGCGGCGGCGGCCCAAGTGACTCCTCCGAGTTTGGCCCCAAGTTCGGGGCACCGATGGGGTCTGCGGCGGCCTCTGCGGGCGCCCCGCAGCCGGCGAAGCCCCCCTACTCATACATCGCTCTCATCACCATGGCCATTCTGCAGAGCCCACACAAGCGCCTCACGCTCAGCGGCATCTGCGCCTTCATCAGTGGCCGCTTCCCTTACTACCGTCGCAAGTTCCCCGCCTGGCAAAACAGCATCCGCCACAACCTCTCGCTCAACGACTGCTTCGTCAAAATCCCCCGGGAGCCGGGACACCCTGGCAAGGGCAACTACTGGAGCCTGGACCCCGCCTCCCAGGACATGTTCGACAACGGCAGCTTCCTTCGGCGCAGGAAGCGCTTCAAGCGTCACCACCCGCCTCTGGGAGCCCACCTGCACCGCCCCTTCCGCCTGCCCGCTGCGCCCGCCGCCCTGCATGCCCCCTACTCGGGCATGCTGCTCGGGCCGCCGGCCCCGCCGCAGCCTATCCCGGGGGCCTATCCCGCCTCCACTCCCGGGAGCCGCCCGTGCGCGCTGCTGCATCCTCACCCCCTCCGCTACCTGCTGCTCTCTGCCCCGGCCTACGCTGAGGCGCCCAGGAAAGCGCAAGGCGCGGATCTGGTGACCCCCGGCGCCCTTCCAGTGCTGCAGCCCACGCTAGGCTCCCAGCCTTGGGAGGAGGGCAAGGGGCCGGCGTCGCGGCCGGCAGGCGGATGCATCTCCTTCAGCATCGAGAGTATCCTGCAAGGGGTCCGGGGAGCTGGTACAGGCGTCGCGCAGAGTCTGCCCCCGACCCCGTGGGGTTACCGCCACCTGCTGCAGCGCCCGTCGTGCCTGTTGCATCCTCAGGCCGCTGCCCCCTTTCTCCACGTCTCCGCCGCCGCCGCATCCGCTGCCCGGACGATTTTGCAGCAGCAGCAGCAGCAGCAGCAGCAGCAGCAGCAGCAGCAGCAGCAGCAGCAGCAGCAGCAGCAGCAGCAGCAGCAGCAGCAGCAGCAGCAGCAGCAGCAGCAGCAGCAGCAGCAGGACTCTGCCAGAGGCTGCGCTCCCAGCAAAGGCGCTCTGCTGGGCCGGCACCTGTCCGCCACCGCGGCGCTCCTGGGGTGTCAGCCTGGAGTAGAGGGCTCTAGGCTGACGTCGCTGGTCGCCCTCTCGGGCGGAGAGGGGACCTCACCGGCCTTTTGACTAGCACCCACACCTGCCCTGGAGCTGACTCCTTGGGGCGGACAGGGAGCCAACCTGGAGGGCGGAGCCACCCGGGGTCACGCTCTCCTCGCCGCCTGCCCTGGCGCACTCCACCTTCCACAGCTGGGACCAAGGGTGTGTACCTGCATCCTACAGCGGAGCAACCACTAATTTCGGTTCGCTGCGACGGTGCGATCGATATCCTGGGAGAGGAGGAAGATGAAGAAGAGGAGGAGGAAGAGGAAGACGAGGAACCCGAGGGAAGCCGGCGGCTCCTAGAGCCGCTGCACCAGCCGGAGCCGCAGAAGGCGCGGCGGGGCGCGGGCGCGAGTGCGCTTCCCGGAGAGCGCACCGAGAGCGGCGGCGGCGGCCCAAGTGACTCCTCCGAGTTTGGCCCCAAGTTCGGGGCACCGATGGGGTCTGCGGCGGCCTCTGCGGGCGCCCCGCAGCCGGCGAAGCCCCCCTACTCATACATCGCTCTCATCACCATGGCCATTCTGCAGAGCCCACACAAGCGCCTCACGCTCAGCGGCATCTGCGCCTTCATCAGTGGCCGCTTCCCTTACTACCGTCGCAAGTTCCCCGCCTGGCAAAACAGCATCCGCCACAACCTCTCGCTCAACGACTGCTTCGTCAAAATCCCCCGGGAGCCGGGACACCCTGGCAAGGGCAACTACTGGAGCCTGGACCCCGCCTCCCAGGACATGTTCGACAACGGCAGCTTCCTTCGGCGCAGGAAGCGCTTCAAGCGTCACCACCCGCCTCTGGGAGCCCACCTGCACCGCCCCTTCCGCCTGCCCGCTGCGCCCGCCGCCCTGCATGCCCCCTACTCGGGCATGCTGCTCGGGCCGCCGGCCCCGCCGCAGCCTATCCCGGGGGCCTATCCCGCCTCCACTCCCGGGAGCCGCCCGTGCGCGCTGCTGCATCCTCACCCCCTCCGCTACCTGCTGCTCTCTGCCCCGGCCTACGCTGAGGCGCCCAGGAAAGCGCAAGGCGCGGATCTGGTGACCCCCGGCGCCCTTCCAGTGCTGCAGCCCACGCTAGGCTCCCAGCCTTGGGAGGAGGGCAAGGGGCCGGCGTCGCGGCCGGCAGGCGGATGCATCTCCTTCAGCATCGAGAGTATCCTGCAAGGGGTCCGGGGAGCTGGTACAGGCGTCGCGCAGAGTCTGCCCCCGACCCCGTGGGGTTACCGCCACCTGCTGCAGCGCCCGTCGTGCCTGTTGCATCCTCAGGCCGCTGCCCCCTTTCTCCACGTCTCCGCCGCCGCCGCATCCGCTGCCCGGACGATTTTGCAGCAGCAGCAGCAGCAGCAGCAGCAGCAGCAGCAGCAGCAGCAGCAGCAGCAGCAGGACTCTGCCAGAGGCTGCGCTCCCAGCAAAGGCGCTCTGCTGGGCCGGCACCTGTCCGCCACCGCGGCGCTCCTGGGGTGTCAGCCTGGAGTAGAGGGCTCTAGGCTGACGTCGCTGGTCGCCCTCTCGGGCGGAGAGGGGACCTCACCGGCCTTTTGACTAGCACCCACACCTGCCCTGGAGCTGACTCCTTGGGGCGGACAGGGAGCCAACCTGGAGGGCGGAGCCACCCGGGGTCACGCTCTCCTCGCCGCCTGCCCTGGCGCACTCCACCTTCCACAGCTGGGACCAAGGGTGTGTACCTGCATCCTACAGCGGAGCAACCACTAATTTCGGTTCGCTGCGAAATACTTACAAAGGAAAAGTGGTTATTGTTCCCTTAAGACAACCTGAACGTAAATATTCGATGGCGTCAGCGTCGAACATTTCTTTTCCAGCCTCCAGTCGTGACTTCCAAGGCTTTTCCGATTTGTATATTTCCAGAGGAACTATGAACGTGAGTGGGGCATTTTGTGCTGTTATTAAAAGAAAAATAAAGAAAATAAATCGTCCAATGCACAACGTTTCCCCCGTCTTCACTCCCTAGGAACTGCAGGTATTATTCCCAAATCCAGTGCAGAATCCTTGTGCCCTTTTTGTCTTCCTGAAATCAATGTGTAATATGAGTAGAATTTTAATTTCAGAGGATTTATTTCTGATCTGTATGTCTGATGTGCCATCTTCCGTGGAGAGGTGTTAAAATTAAAGCTAACTATATGGACTAAATAAAGTGCTAAATCATTACACAACATTGTTTATTTTATATTACTTCACCTTCTAAATGGAACTTATTTTAAAACTTAGTGTTTTCCTCCCAGTTAAACAATTTAGTTTTACAATTCATATTCATTATAGACGTCAGAAACAATCCATTTTCAAAATGTTTTTTAAAACTTCCGAATATTTGAAGTTGAAAAAATTCTGGCTTTTAAAATATGGGATTTAGTATGTATGAAATCTATAAGTGAAAAATAATTAGAGGTCATCTAAATATATTCTCCATTTATTTTCCATCTTTCTAAAGCGTTGATTTTTCTCCTGAATAAGTTGAAGGGCAATTTGACATGAATCTTAGATGTGGTGGCCAAAGTTTATTCGGGAAGAATAAAAGGCAAAAAAATTAGAAATGTCAAAACTAGGGCCCAGAGAAAAGGGGACTGTCAAATGAAGCACTCGGATCCCGGACATTTGCAATTTAAAAAACTCCCAGGTCAGGTACTTTCTAGGAACTTCTATTCCCTTTCTTTAGAACAGAAAGAACTTTCTCTTTCAAAAAAATTTCTGAAAAGACTTTGCAACCAGAAAGGTTTCACTGTATTCGGTTTCAGGTGACTGGGTGGGAGGCAAACAGGACGAAGATGTCCATCAAGAAATACTCCCGCCAGAGAACGCAAATTTCTAGAGACCCTGCAGCTCTCAAGGTCCTGACCAGGGCTCACGTTTCAAAAGAACTGTATTCCGCACGGGTTTGGAGGAAGTCCCCCCCACGCCCCGTGAGTGTAAGAAGCTCGTGCCCCCTCATCCACTCTTCAGCCCCAGTTTTGAATTTCTCATTCCAGGAGGGAGGGAACATATAGAGACACACATTTTTACAGCCGTTTAATTGGCCCATTTTTACTCCGGCTTCTCATCTCCATCCCATCACTCGGAACTTCTGCCTACGACCCCCACTGACTCCTGGCTTGCAGTAGTTCATTCCGAGGGTGTTCTGGAAAGTTCCCAAGCCCAACCCTTGGTAGCCGCCATTCTCGAGCTTCCGATTCAATTGCCCTCGCTCTGCACCTGCAGCCTTCGCCCGCAGGGCAAGCACCAACGGTTGACGACGTCGGCCCCTATCCTCGGCTTGCAGGCGATCCTCCAAACCCCCTTCATTCCCTTCATCCCCCTCTCCCTCCTTAGGCTTTGCCAAATCGTGAACTCAGTCTGTCTCGCCCTCATCACCTCAGCTTTAAGATCCTTTTAGCAAATTCTGCGGGTTGGGGCTCACCTAAGAGTTTGGAAACAAGGGAGAATATAAAGGGAGCCTATTTCATGCCAACAACACACCCGTTCACATTCCAATTTCCTCTTGCCCTTTGTGTGGAAACTCTCCAGGCCTACATTCGTTCATTTATTCGATCAACAAACGTCAGAGCGCCGGGTACAGCCGCGGATGAGCCCCGAGCCGACCCTGAGGCTCTCCCGCGCGCCCTGCAGGAGATACCGTTTACTTCCTTCCCTTGACCCCAGGCCAGACCAGCGGAGCCACGAACGTGGGTGACTGCGGGCCGGAATCCGGCCCCAGCCGGCCCCTAAGCTCCTAATTATTACCGAATGAAACCATATCGAACGATCAATCTTCAAGAAAAATATCGATTCCGTCGAAGAGTAAATTAAACGTTCTTCTCCTAGCGCAAGTGGCGCTCGGGTCCACCTGCACGAAGCGCCGCGACCGCGCGGAGAGCTCCGGCCTTCACGGGGGCTCGCCGAACGGACCGGCGCCTGGTGCCGCTGCTACTACGGGGCCGGGCTACCGCGTTCCGGCCGGCCTTGTGGCGGCGCAGCCCCCGGGGCAGGGGCGGCCGGCGGCGGGAATGGGCCGAGGGCGCGTGGTGCTTGGCACGGTGAGCAGGCCGGGCCGCGTCCTGTACCGCGTCGAGCTCGAGGTCGTAGCTCTGGTTCCCAGGCCCCGGGGGGTCGGAGTAGGGGCGTCAGGGCACCTTCCGGGTCCGGGGCTTCTGTCCGCCCCGCGGTTGGCCTCGGCCCCAGGCTTGGATAAGAACGCTGGTCCATTTTAAAGCCCCGCCTGCGCGGCGCTTCCGAGTTACGCAAAGGACTAGAGGGGCAGGGGTCGTCTCCTACCCTCGGGATCGTCTTCCTGAGGACGGGTTGACTGGAAGCGTCCAGAGCTGCCTGAGTAGTGGAGCCAAAGGGCTCGAGCGGAGTGCGAAGGAGCTGGGAGGCGCAGACAGGCCGGGCGAGGGCAGAAGGAGAAACAAGGAAAAGTGACTCTCTCAGGTCCAGCCCGCTAATAATAACACTAATAATAGTAACAATAGCGGCTAATCCTTATCTCCTGCTCCGTCTGCGGGGCAATGGATTCCCCTTTAACCCTCCCAGCACCCAATGAAGAAGACATTATGGAATCTCCATTACACAGATAAGAAATTTGTGATTTAGAGAAATTAAGAAACTCGCCCGAGGACCTCGGGCGGTGGCACCGGGCTCTGTCGGGTTTCTCAACCACTAGTTGCTCACTAGCGTCAGCAACCTTCTTATGCCTGGGCTTCCAGTGGGTCGCCGAGGCTGAGGCAGGAAGAGGGCCGCGATCCCACATCGTACATCCGGGCTCCCGGATCCAGCCCCGTGCGCCAGGAAGCGCGTTTCTCTCCGCAAGACTCGGACGCCCCAACGCCGCGCACAGTCATGTCCGCAGCCCAGCGCCCCGGCTCCGCTCTGCGTTTCCCTAGGAAGCGCCTGAGCGGAGCGACGGGAAAGTCACGGCCGGCCCGGCCCTGGCAAGTGCACCGGCCCTCGCCAAACTCGAGGACTTCGCTTAACCCACGGTCGCCCGTGAGGAGTCAGCAGAGTCCTGAGAGTGAGTTTTTCCTCCCTCTTTCGCTCTTTCCCCTCGTGGTAGCCAGCAGCCCAGGCACCCCTGCGCGTAGGCGTCGGCGGTACCACGAACCCCGACTGCCTGCAGGCCCAGAGCCGCTGCCTCCTCCCTGCCGCCCGCCCTTGGCGGTGGAGGTGGGCTCCCTCCAGCCCCGCGAAGCCCCGCCCAGCCACAGTTCCTCTCCGGAATCTGGACCCTGCGCTCCGCTTCGCGCCCCGTGAGGGCACTGGATCCTGGCAGCGCGAAAGGGGCCCTGATGTGCCCAGGTTGTTGGGCGCCACTGGCCTGGGGCGAGGGGAGGGAGGGGTGGGGGACGCCGGACTGAGGAACGACCAGCCCTCAGTCACTATCTGGTCAGAAGGTCCCGGCCGGCAGGAATTGGAGTGCAGGTGGGAACCCTCGCAGAAAAGGAGGGAGGGCGTCTGTGGGTCGGGCGGACTGGAGTCCCCCGAGGTGGTCGAAGGCTGCAAGCCTGGGCGCTTGTCGGTGGCTTCACGCCCCGCGCAGGTGCGATCTGGCACAGCGGTAACACGACTTTTGCCCCGTTCCTGCATACGTCGGCTGTATGGTTCTTGTGTATTCAGCGGAGTGTAGCCAGTGATTCAGGAACCTCTCTCATCTCCTGTCTGCCTAAACCGGACACCCCCTGTCTTTCATTTTGACTTGGATGCCATAACAGACAGCAGAAAATCTAGAGACACAGCAGACGCTAGGATAAATAGAATCAAAACGATGGTAAGATTTAACTAAGGCTGGGAGAGGGAGGTAGAGCAAATTTTGTTTTCTAAGAATTTGCACCCGTCCTTCACATTTTATTGTGTGGGGAACTCCTAGCTCTCATTCCCCCCAGCACTTAGGAAGAATGTTCAGAAATGTCTTTCCACGTTAACATATTATTCCAGTCTAAACTGTAATCCTACTCTAATTGCTAATGTCACCTTCTGGTAATTTCTACAAAAATTGGTTAGTCTTAATGGCCTGATTTTCATATCAGCACTGAAATTATTCTCTGGTTTAAGCATTCATTGATGTCATATACATCACTAGGTGCAAAGAACTTAAATAGGTTTTATGTATTAATACCAAAATTTGCACCCCCCAAATAAAAACCCAGGAAAATTAGGTGACGGAAAAGAAAAAGGCTTTGAAGACCCAGTCTGAAAATCAGTTTAACACCAGTTTCCTGCTGCTCAGCTACCTTAACATAATCAAGATTTATATGTTAAAATGAATGCTTATAAAAGAAGTACTTGGTTATAAACTTCCTTTACTTGTTTGTCCTTAGAATGCAGGGGTATGCTTATTGAAATCAGTAATTAAGACTATTTGGGGATAGTTATGATTTATTCAGCCAGCAAAGCAGTTTCTATTCCCAATTCCAGGCAAAGAGAACAATGAGATTAAATTAAGCATGAGAGAATTCCTTTTCTTCAGGTACTGTCATTTTGATACCTTTAGCTATGTTTGTATTCAATGCCATGCTTATGACCATTTGTTCTTAAAATTAAGGGGACTATATTATTATGTTATTCAAGGTATCTGTTGTATAAGAGACATTGTGCTATATTTCAAGCAGTGATTATTTTTTCCTTTATTAAAAAGTTTACTATAATGGAAACTTCCAAACATATAAACAGGTAAAGAGATTAATATAATTAACCTCTGTGTACCCCTTGGTTAGGCCAATCTTGTTTCATCTTTACCCTCTGACAGTCCTCTCCCACTGGATTATTTTGAATCAAATCCCAGATATCTTATCATTCCATCCACAAATATTTTTGAACATTTCTCTAAAAGATAAGAATTCCATTGATGTAACCACAATATCACCACACCTAAGTAATCACCACACCTAAGTAATTCATTAATAGGATCAATTTATCCAGGCTATACTTAAATATCCTCAATTCTCTCAAAACTGTTTTTGATTAGTTGGCTTGTTTGAATTAAGATGAAAATAAGGGGTACACATTATATTTGGCTGATATAGTCTCTTCCTTTTAGGTTTCATCAATCCTTTTTTTAAAATTGGATTTTTGTTTTTGTTGAAGAAACTGGACTATCTTCAAGAATTTGACTTTTTTTAAACATCTTTATTGGAGTATAATTGCTTTACAATGGTGTGTTAGCGTCTGCTCTATAACAAAGTGAATCAGCTATACATATACCTACATCCCCATATCTCCTCCCTCTTGCGTCTCCCTCCCACCCTCCGTATTCCACCCCTCTAGATGGAAGAATTTGACTTTCTTGATCTTGTGGTTACAGGCAATATTTTTATGATATTTAAAGATATTACCGGGGATAAGATAATTTATTTAGACTTTTGAATACTAGCAAATATTGATAATAATATTGTTTGTAGAGGGGCAGGGCTTAGTTAAGATACCTTTAAGAGTCAACTGTTGAGAAAATATTATGTTATTAGGGTAAGCATGGATCTGGGAAAGCTTTGTAATTTTTTCCTAAATGTATAGATCACATTTCCTTACAACTTTAAAAATGAGATTATTTCCCATGTATCTATAGAAATATAAAATTACCAATCAAATACTTCATCTAAAAATTTAAATCTAGTCTTATTTTGGCATGAAGGAAGCTCTTTACACCTTTAAAATATGAGTTGAAGTTCCAAAGACATTTTATGTTTCAAAATTTTATGTTTTAGGAACTTCCATGGTGCTCCAGTGGTTAAGACTCTGTGTTCCCAATGCAGGTGGCACGGGTTTGATGCCTGGTCAAACCCTGGTCGGGGAACTAAAATCCTGCATACCGCATGGCCAAAAAAAAAAAAAAAAAAAAAAAAAAAATTTCTCATAAATTTTAGTTCTACAGTGATGTTTCACTCTGAGAACATTTAGCTTCAAAGCAAAAATGCTACTAATGTGGTGAAAAAAAAAAAAAAAAAAAAAAAGAATTTATGTTTTATATTGTTACGTATTTTAGAATGAAAAGTGGTAACATTAAATCTCATAAATATGCTCAGAAGAAAATTCATTTTAGGATAACGCTAAATTGAACAGACTTAGGATATGAAAGAAATTAGACTGAACAGAAAAAATTTCACTTTAATGTAAGAAATATGTTTAATAAAAATTAAAAGTAGCCAACTTTGGGGGCTCCTTATTTTTTTAATGAGTATGCATACTAAATTCAATTTCCATTTTTCCATTGTACATTGGGCTTTTATTACCATTTGTCTCATTCTGCAGTTCTTTGCAGAAGTTTCTATGTCCCCCAATCTCTGGAATCCTATGTTGGTAGAGACCAAATTTTAGTCATCTTTGTATCTCAAACAATTCCCAGCACGTTTTCAAAACTACACGTGAAATTAATTTGTATCTATTGTACCTATAATATTGATGTGTGTAAAAGGGTGGTACATATATTGGGCTTTGCTTTAAGTTTAGATGGATGTAAATATTATTCAAATTACAGTTGTTCAAAAAGTATTATTTACCTAGAACAAATAGAGATTTTAGGTAAAACTAGATTTGGATATTCTAATACCTTAATTAATAGGTCACATTCCTAACCATTCAATACCTGTTTGGTAAGCAGCTGGTGTTTTATATAATGCTGTTAGGTATTTCTTGTTTGTCTGAATTTCCAGATTCACAGCATTCAG